TAACACCGAGGTTGGGCATAGGGGCGCCCGCCTGTAATCCCAGAAACTCAGGAGGCTGAGGCAGGAGAATTGCAAGTTCAAAGCCAGCCTTGGCAACTTAGTAAGACCCTATCTCAAAATAAAAAATTAAAAGGGCTGGGGATGTAGTTCAGTGGTAAAGTGCCCCTGGGTTCAATCCCAAGTTCTAGAAAGAAATACAATACTCAATGAAAGAGGGGCATCACAGAGAGTACATGTGTGTAAACTTCAAATCCATGTATAACAAAACAAACATGCTGTTCTGTAAAACATACAGAGATGGTACTTACAAAGAAAAGCCAGGAAATAATTAACCAAAATTCACTTTGGGGTGGGGAAACCAGGAAGGGGGATGCAAATGGGAAGAGGGAAAGGGGCTTTTAAGATATTGTAAATGTTTCATTACTAACTTAGTGGTGAGTATAGCACTATATGATATTATACTAAAATCCATCTATAAACATATTATATTCTCTTGTATGTCAGATGTATTTGTTTCACAGTTTTTTTAAAAAAACAATAAACAAAAAGAATTGAAGACAAGTAACCTTTTCAAGCTTATCATCTAACAAATGGCAGAAAGAGAAATCAACTTATTGAATCTGAGTTTAGCCAGATTCAATACCAGGACACCATTCAGTACCAGGACACCATTCCTGAGTCCATGTGGGGCTTCTCACAATGACAGGTTTAGGGGATAGTCAATTTAAAAACATTTGCAAGAGCCCCCCTGCCCCCTACCATTAAATTCCAAGTATCTTGCATAGTGCTGGCACATAGTAGGACTTCAGCCCACATCTGCTGAATAACTGCACATGCTTTCAAGGACCCAGTTTATGCCAAGAAACTGACTTATTTTATCTAATCTTCACAAATCCAACAAGGGAGCTATTATTATCCCCTATTTACAGATAAGGAAACTAAGATTTTGGAGAGATTAAGAAATTTGCCCAAGTTTGCCAGCTAGAAAGTGACAGAGCCAAGATTTGAACCCAAGAGTTGAACTTAGACTCTGTACTTCTGTTCTGCCAGACTGCTGGCACAGCTTCTAGCAGCATTACCTAAAATCTCCCCAACTACACACTAAAGAGAATGATAGGAGAGAGGAGGAGGGGGGAGAGAGAGAGAGAGAGAGAGAGAGAGAGAGAGAGAGAGAGAGAGAGAGAGAGAGAGAGAGAGAGAGAGACAAAAATTATAATACCCCAAAACAAAGCTGTGTAGATTAAAAGAGAATAGAGATCAGCACAGGACCTGGCAGGAGGCTGTCATAAGAAGTTAGAGTCCATTTCTCTTTCCAGGAGAACTAGGTTTGGGAGCCCTTTAGGAACAACCAGGAAGGGAGAAAAGGTGGGCAAGTGGAGAATAGCTCCCTGTTGATGGGTGGGATGATGGGCTTTTTCCCTGTTGCACTTAGCACATAGGAGGCTATCAGTAGAGTGCTTTGTTTGAAATGGGAAAAGTTTCACATTTCCCTCCCATGTCATTCAATTCTTATTTGATTCCTCAACATTAACCTCTCTGTACAATGTTACGTCTCTTGGATTCTTTTTTATGCCTCATATTAATCCGAGGACTATGCCTAAGACTGCCAGAGAGACACTCACGTCTAAAGGTGCTGGCAGAGGTAGCCTTCTGAGATGCCACCATCCCCAGAGTAACCTTTGGGCCAACTGAGCTTGCTCTCAGGTCAACTTGTTCAAACTAGTTAGTAAATCTAACTCTGCTGCTCACAAATATTTATTGCAGGCCTGTAATAGGCATGACATGGCACTGAGTGCCCTGTGGCTGTCTTATGAATGCAGAGGTGGTAGAGTTCTGTGGAGGCTTTGGCAGCCTGCAGACCTGCATGTGAGTCCTGACTCTCCTTCTTACACGTTATGTCACTTTGGCAATTGCTTAACCTCTCCAGCCTCAGTTTCCTCATTTGTAAGGTGAACATAGTAGCGATTCCTGACTCACTGGAACCACGGCTCATGGGTCTGTGAGGCTGCGCTTGCAATGTTCTTAGCACTGCAACTGCCACCAAATGAGTGCCCAGTAAGCCACTGTTCCTAGAGCTATAACTCTGGCACCAGCAGATGGCACACACTGGATATGCCACTAGTAAACCCTTGAGCTTCCTTGGTGCTCCATAGTGTCTGGAATGTCACACCTTGCATAACACCTCAAAGCTTGTCATCAAAAGGCCAGCAAGAGGCAGCAGCTTCCCAGGAACTGGCCTTGGGTCCTGCCCCAACTCCACTTTCCCGCTGGTGCAGCTGTCCACACCCTGTGCACGACCAGGACTCTCCCCTGTGCAGAATGAGGACTTTGTGTGGCATTTGGTTCTGGGAACACTGCTTAGTCTATTCCTTGGCATGGGACCTGCAGGGCAGGTTTGCAAAGGCATGACACACACTCAGACTCACAGAGCGCCTACTGATTCTGCTTCTCATTCCTGCCATTTACCCACTAGTCACCCCAGCCATCCCTCACCAGTCCAAAGTTCTGTCACCTTCCCCTCTCCACAAATTGCTTCCCAGGTGGGATTTCCCAAGAGGACTTCACTTGCCCTTTCGTGTGTTACAATGAGAATGACTTCCTTCCTGCCACAGCACAGGAGTCACTACACAGTCACAGAGGAGACTCGGCTCCCGCCATGCCTTATGCCCTAATCACGCAGACGCTAGACCTCTGGGGACTCTCCAAGGAGCCTTCCCCAAGCATCTGGACCACAAAGTGCAAGGACTCTGAAGCGAGGGCAGTTTATCTTCCTCATGTCACCACCACAGGATGCTATTGCTGCCACCAACGCCTAAAGCTTGGGTTGAGCAAGAACTATCTGTCCCCACCCTGGACCATTTCCCCAAAGTCAGGACTCTCAACAGTCCTGACTGGGGACTGACTCCATCTCCTGCTAAGCAGCTTCTCTCTGGTTTTAGTCTCCATCTTGGTTGTCATTTCCCTGGATCACAATTACAAGTGACTTGCATTCTTTATCTATACAGACAGGTTGACTACCCTTTCCTTCCTGGTTGTTTACCCACTGAGAGCTGGACTTTCCTGTGGGGTGGAATGGTCCTCAGAGGTCTGGGAAGCTAGAAGGACAAAATGAAGAGATGGCAGAAGGGGAAAAGAGGGGAGAGGAAGCATGGAGCCCAGTGAGTCTTGGCCCTACTATAATTCCCAGTTCCCCCAGGGGAAGCGGAAGAGGAGTTGGCAGGTCTTCCTGTCCCTGTCTGAGGTAGGGGTGGGGCAGGAAAACCTAAGGTGAGGCCAATCATAAGCCAAGGGTGAAGGGAAGTTACATAGGTGGTGGGTTGGGTCCTGAGAGAAGGTGACTGGGAGCAGTTCTACCTTTGGGAAGAAGACTGGAATTAGCTGATAATTCCAGGGAGCAGACTGGGGTGTTTATTAAAATTAAACTACCCCCATCTTCCCCACAACATTAAGCCTCCATTGTCCCCTCATCACTGTGTGTGACCTCTGCTGGGTTTGGAATGGCATTTACTAGGATGATTAAAATTTCTCGTTTGCCCTGGACAGTCTTGGTTTATGTGCATTCCCCTGGCAAAAATCATGCAGAACATCCCAGTCACTCCCCAAAATATCCTAGTTTGAACAATAAATTATACAACCACTCTAGCATCTTCAGAGGGACACTGACACCAGGGAAAGCGATGGTGAAATCAGAGAGGAGCCTAATTAGAAATGAAGCCCTCATGGTTTAGAGCAACAGCCAAGATGGCTTCAGTCCAGCTGGATTCCTCCAGAACTGGAAAGTAGTGAAGGGAGAGACAGAGGGCTGCTGCCCCTCCTGAGGCTCTGATTGTCTTGGCGGCAGGAGCCTGGTCTGCTGGGATCTGCTTCCTTTCATTCCTCAGATGGCCTGGCACTACGCTGGGCACACAGAGGCTCTTCATCAATCATTTCCTTACTTCCCTCTACCTGCCTTCCAAACAGACCTGCAGCAAAAGCTAATAGAAGCTGGAGCCAAATACGTCCCTATCCAGAATAAATCTGAATGTTATTCAGGTACTTCCTGGACCTACTCTGTAGCTAGGAGAACCCCATTGCTGCATAGGCAACAGCAAGTTTCTAGCAGAGGTTCCAGAAGCTGATCTCAACCAGGATGTTCATGGTTTCCTTAGGATATGGGGCAAAGAAGTGAAAAACCAGAACTCTTTCTCATGTCTTGGATAACAAGTTGGTCTAGCCCATCAGGCTGCACCTTCTTTATGTGCTGGGTAGAGGGTAGAGGCCCAGGAGATGGATTGGAGCTTCCTCTACAACTCAGTCCCAAAAGGTATCAGTTCTGAGACCAAAGAGAGAGAGAAGACTGGAGAAGCATAAAACCAAATAGCCAAAGCACCCAAACAGCACCTGGACCAACCACAATGTACAAACAAAGTCTGATGGTCTTGGAAGAGTGAGGGGTCAAGAAAGCTTCCTCACTGTCTTCCTTTCCCTCCTTTCTTACTCTATTTTCAGTCTTGGTAAGGGACCAAGTCATAGATAATCAGGACCAGCCAAACCCAAAGACATGGGACCCAGCCAGAGTACAGACTGTGAATTCCCCAGCTTTTTGCAGTTTGAGTCAGCCCAGCAGCCTTGTTGGCCTCCCTGAATTCCTCTCAAACAGGTCTAGAGAGGCTACTGAGTGGGGGGCCATGGGCTCTGGGGCACCTATTTCTGCTCATGGATCTTTAACACCCAAAACAAAAGCCAGGGAGAAATTTTCACTTTTACTACCTCCTGGTCTGGCTACATGCCTGACCTGAAACTACTCCAGAGTGACCCACAGTTCCCTCCAGCACTCTAATGGCGAGGGGATAGAAGAAGGGCCCCCAATACACAACATTCTCAGTTCATAGCATTGAGGCTCCTGTGTGCAGACAACCCATCCCCACCTCAGCAAACCACCCCCAACTCTCTAGACTGGGTTAAAGCATTATTTGCATTTTGTGGTTCCAGAATCCTCCCAATTTCTTCTTCATGCCTACCTCAGTAGCAGAGATGGGCAGCTACAAGACCACAGAGAACAAATGGGATGAGAAGCTGGAAAATTCTGCAGTGCTGGGGTGTACCTCTCAGTCCTAGAGAAGGATAAGAGATGTGGACTTACCACAAAGCCACAATCCCTTCACAGTCAACTCTTTCTAGAATCATCCCATAGCCATCAAATAACTACTGCTGTGTTGGGTGTCTGAACCCCTGCCCACTGCCCAATGGCCATGGGAAGACTGCCTTCCAGAAAGGAGCCACAGCAGAGCTGAACTCTGCCCAGGAGAACTTCTGCAATGCTCAGAAAATGCCTGCCCAAATGCTTGCCTGGGCTCTGGCCCCTCTGGCTGCAACTGAGCCCAGACAGGAGGCTGACTCACTCACCACAAGGAGGAGGAGGAGGAGGAGGAGGAGGAGGAGGAGGAGGAGGAGGAGGAGGAGGAGGAGGAGGAGGAGGAGGAGGAGGAGGAGGAGGAGGAGGAGGAGGAGGAAGAGAAGGGCCTAGGTTCAGAGATTCAAGGTCCCCCTAGCCCAAGCAGACTGTCTTAGCCTCTGGTCCATGGGAGAGGGCACAGCTATCCGCTGACCCTGGCCACCACACAAAATTCCTTCCTAGATATTTCCTTTGAATTCTCTCCCACCACCAACAAATTCGGGGCCCCTCACTCTCCAAGCAGAAACAACTCCTCAGGCCCCCACCGGGCTTATATACTTGCCCTTGTGTTCCTCTGAACATCTATGGATTGGCTCTCCTGAAAAGTTAATCCACTGCACCAGTCAATTACGTGGTGGCTAAAGTCAAGAAGAGAAAAGAAAAATACTCCACGTAAAAGATCCAACTTCACCATCACAGGTGGCCATACTAGGGCTCTACAGGATAATAAATAAAGCTACACACACTCCACCCCCAGAAGTCCTTAGTACCATCGACAGCCAATCGCACCCTTCCTTATTCTTCCCCTCCATGCCAAGGCGCCCGATGAAGGAAGAAACAAATGGGTCTAGTAACCCAAGTGCTAAGCCCTGTCCTAGCTGAACACTTTCTACGCTGAATTGCCTGAATGAACATCGAGGAGGTGGCTGCCCTCTCGCCAGCTTGGCACAAACTTCAACTTTTTCAAACCTCAGTGCCCCCTCAGTGTCCCAACCTCATGGCACAACAGCCCGGATCTCAGTCGCCAAGTTTTGTTCCTGAGACTTACACTCAAGTGCTTGCACACGGGCACTCAGATCTCCGGACCTCCGAAGCCCCCAGCCAGGATTCAGTCCCTATCCTAGAACCCCCTTCCCCGCAGCTCCCAGGTCCGCACCTGGTCCGGCGGGTGAACACGCAGCCTGGCGCTCCCGACTCCGCTGCTGCCTTTTGACAAGCACAGACTGCCCCGCCCCCGGCCCCGCCCCGCCCACTGGTCCCGCCCATAGCCTCTGTCCCTTGTTGCCAAGCGCTCCCTCGGCGCTGCAACCATCTTGACTTGGAATCAACCACTGCACGGCCGCCTTGGAGTCCTTGCCTGGGGAAACCTCTCACGGCTGCCTCCATAGAGTTAGGCATACCCTGCCCCGTGTGGGACGGAGTTTTCGATGATTTCGTATGTGCAGATCCACGCTTCTGCCTGCAATAATAGAGGATGCCTCCTCGCTACCCCTGCTGCCGTGGTTCTACCCAGCCTCTGCGGACGCCTCAGCCAGGTGCGTCACCCCCACCTAGGCTCACCCGGCCCGGGCCTTGTCGCCCGCAGGTCGCTGGGGGGCGCCTGCCGAACCAGAGCCATTCTCTCCGCATTCGTGGGGAATCCCTAGCACCGCTTACAGCCGTGTTACTTCTGCAGAACGCCAGGACCTCAACCCTATTCCAAGAATTAGGGTAAAACAGCACACCCTGTCGAAGTGGAGCCTGGAGTTGCATCATTGCTACCACCGACGTCCCCTTGGCAGCAACAGCCCCGAGCACGTTCCTGGCCCATCGCTAATCTCATTCCCGAGCGCTTAGTCTTAGCTGCTCTGATCCCCTGTCCCCACTGCCCCCCAGCCCTGCTTCCCACCGTGACGTTGCTGTAAGGGAAGGGAGGAGATAAAAAGGGTAAAAAGTGCATCCTGAGTCCAGGATTAGTGGATGATTGTGGAAAATTCGCCACATAAATTTTTGGCTAAAAATTAACTTCGCTCTACTTACCAATATAAGTACTCAATGCTAGAAGAGAGGTGAAAAAGACGGGGTCCCCCGCCCCCTTAGAGGGGAACTGTCCAGTAGGAGAATGTCTAAATATATATAGTAATCATAACAAAATCGCAACAGCATGTTCCAGAATAGAGATACCCACAAAGTCATCCAGCAGATGGTGACCTCCTTTAGGTAGGGAAGATATTGCTGTTTGCCTCTTGCAGAGGAGAAAGCCTGCGCTGAGGGAACAAGTGCAATAGGCAAGAAATTGAGGCATAGAAAGGGTAAGTGATTTGCCCTTCATGACCCAGCATTGCAGCAATGCAGCGAAGGACTAGTACCAGAGCCCAGCAAGTTTGCTGGTGCAATGAACCAATTTGGAGACAGCTATTCCAGACTGATAACCAGCCTTTCCCAGATCTCAACAATACGATCCCAAGAAATGGACTGAAGCTAAACAGAAGGAAGTTCAAATGGTGAAGTTGTGAGGTGAAGCCTGAAGCAGTTCATTAAGGCACTTTCTCTGGCAAAGCTTAAAAGGAGGCAGGGAGGAAAAGGGAGAGAGATACCCATTGTTTAGCTTGGGAATAGATCATCAGTTCCCCTAAGAAACAGATAGATGGAAGTGTCCCTTTGAAGGTTCTACCTATCTAATGGATAGATTCTCTATTTTAAGAAAAGTGAAGAAATACCTCCCTTGCTCAAAGCATCCTGAGAAAGCTAGCAGTGATTCTCATGGGAAGAAAAGTATAAGAGATATCTCTAACAGCCAACACCTGAGGAAGTCCCAAGAGCCTCTGGAAGAGGTTGATCACTCAGAAGTCACTTTTGTGGTGTTTAAAGGGCATAGCATCTTGCAAATAAACCTTAAAAAAAGGTAATGAAAGATGAGTAATAAGAATTCCATAGTTGTTGACTATGAGTCTTTTTTCACAGCTTTTGGTTGAAGCAGTGAAACTAGTATTTAACATGTATAAAACATTTTAGAGTATAAAAGGATTCTTTGGAATATCTTTTCTTTCTTTCTTTTCTTTTCTTTTTTTGGTACTGGAGATGGAATTCTTTAACACTCAGCTATATCCCCAGTCCTTTTACTTGCTAAGTTGCTGCGAGTCTTGCTTAGATATCGAAGCTGCCTTCAAACTTGCAACCCACCTGCTCTCTATCTTTAATCTCGCTGGGATTGAAGGCATGTACCACCACACCCAGTTGAAATATTTTATTCAGCCTTTATTATAACTTTTTGGTACAGGCAGATTAGAAAATACTCTCCCTATTGTACAACAGATGTGCAGAATTGTCAATATTTTTACAGCTAGGAAATGATAGAGCCACTTGAACACAGGTCTTCTCTCTGAACATCCTTACTGTTCCATGCTGCCTCTCAAAAAATAAAAAATATTCCCATGTACTTTTCACCAGTTGTCTAGCTAAACCAGCCTTCTCCAAGATTATAAGATTATAAATATTGTCACTGTGTTAACATATATCCTATCATAGTCATATCACTATGTCCCTAACCATTTTCTTATCAACCTCCCCATACCTGAATGACTCTCATCTGTCTCTCCAGACCTGTCCTTTAGATCCTGTATGGTTTTTTTTTTTGAGAATTTTTTAATATTTATTTTTTAGTTTTCAGCGGACACAACATCTTTGTTTGTATGTGGTGCTGAGGATCGAACCCGGGCCGCATGCATGCCAGGCGAGCACGCTACCGCTTGAGCCACATCCCCAGCCCAGATCCTGTATGTTCCATCAGATCTTTTGCAACATCTCCAGGCCAAAATGACCCATCATTTCTCTAGTCTTTCTATAGTGAATTGCTGTATTGCATAGTTTGTCACCTGATAACAGGCCTCTTATATCTACATTGAAAACAAATGGATTTTTTTCACCTCAGCTTTATTCTTATGACAAAGGTTATTTTGCAAAAATAAAAAAGCAAGAATACATGAGTTGCACTTTTCCCTGTTGGGTTGTAATCACTAATTGTCTCCTGATCCTGCTTCTCTCTAGCCAGGTACCAGAAAGGCTAGAGAGAAAGAGAGTCCCCTTCTCTCAAAGCCTGATGACAGGTGGCATTTCTGCAGTATAGATTTGGGTTGGGGCAGTAGCCCAGTGTTAGAACACTTATTGTATAGTGTTTATGAAGCCCCAGGTTCAATCCCCAGCAACTCAAAAACAAACAAAAACCCTGCAGATTTAGTAGCTTAGAATTTCTTTAGTTAGACTGCTATGTAGACCATTTACCAGATCCTCTACAGAAAACATGAATTTTCCCCCTTTCCCCTCTAAAGTTAACATTTCTTGTATTTTCACTTGTCCTTAGGAGGGATAGTGGTGGTTACTAGGGGAATGTTCAGATTGGTTTTGGTCAGTACCTATCTCTAATCAATTGCAACAGGGGATATTTACTAAGTTCTTGCTATGTTTGAGATGCCACACTACAGTGCTAGAGACTCAAAGATGTGTATCAAAACAAAAGAGCCCTGCCAGGTGCATGCCACCCTTGTGAGGTGAGGCCACCCTTGTGGGCTTTATTCTACAGAATCCAGGGGAAAGCAGAACCTGGCTTCTTAACCTCTCTGACAGGCTCTGGGAGCCTGCAGGTGCCCAGACAGGTGGGGCTGTAGTCAGGGTACAGGGCTGCAGCCTATACTCAGCTGATGGGCTCCTCTTTTCTGTAGCCTGGATACTGCCTTCAAGGCTGATGGACACTCTCTGAACCTCTTGCCATGATGCCAAGACTTTGAATGGATCACCTTGTCCCTTTAAGGTTCACAGGGACCCTGTCTCCATGGACAGAGGGTTTAAGTTGTCCAGAAGCTGCTCACCAGGTAAAAGTATGCCCTTTGAGCTCTCTGTAGAACACTCTCATCTGACTGTTTGCTTTTGCCTTTTTTAGGGCCCCCTTTTCCCCTTAAATATTTTATGGTTATGGGCATGGGAGGACTGAAGAGAAGACTGTCAGTAAACTCAAAGAACATTGGGAGAGACAGACACAGTTATGGAGTCATAGAGACATAGGGACAAGGCTTCTCAGTTTCTTTATATATATATATTATATATATAATATATATATATTAATATATATTAATCTTTATTTTGTTGATTTATTTTTATGTGGTGCTGAGGATCGAACCCAGTGCCTCACATGTGCAAGGCAAGTGCTCTGACACTGGGCCACAACCCCAGCCCCATCATATATATATTTATATAAATATTTATATAAATATATAAATATTTATTTCAGTTTTAGGTGGGCACAATATCTTTATTTTATTTTTATGTGGTGCTGAGGATCTAACCCAGTGCCTCATGCATGCTAGGCAAGCACTCTACCAGAGCCACAACCCTAGCCCATTGTTTTATATTTTTAAAAAATTAAGTCCAGAAAGGTTAGCTAATTTATCTTTCAGGACAAAAAGGATCTGGAACTGTTCTCTCTGTTTATGTTCCAGATGGTGAAAATGAAATGAATAAATGGAAGAAGCTGTAAGCAATGAAGGCAAACCAAACAAAAGGTCTTTCCAGGACAGTGTTTTTTGAAATTTTAACTCAACCCATAGTAACAAATGAGTTTTTATCATAACTTAGTATACTAATGCATATAGATAAAGTTCAAGAAATGAGAGTTTCCCTACAATGTTTTCTATTTTTTCCTCTTCCTCCCCCCCTTCCCTCCCTTCTCCTTCCTTCCTTTTTTTCTTCCTCCCCTCCTTCCCTCCCTTCTCCTTCCTTCCTTTTTTCCTTCCTCCCCTCCTTTCAGTTTGGGGTCCAGCAAACTGATTTCACAGATCATCATTCATGGGTTGTGACCCAGAGTTTTAAAAATCCTGCAGTAGATCATGGGCTATGCTGAACTTATTGTTTGACTAACCAATAGATAGAAGGATCTATCCAGGCATTCGATTGAATCTCGCCTTTCTGAATCACCTGCACAAGTTCATGTCACCATGGGATTCCCTTAGTTAGAACCTGAAATAAGATTGACAGAAAGGCATTTGAGAGACCAGCATGCTTATAAGGAGCAACCTCAGAACCCTAAGTGGTTCCATGGTGGCTTCAGGCCTTTCAAGGATCCTCCCTCCAAAGTCATACAGTCAGGGCAAGGTCACTGAGGAAGTGACCCAGTGTCACTGTATCCACTCACTGTTGGCTTTTGTGGCCTTAATTCTGTTGTGATCTTATCAGCCTCTTGCATATTCCAGTTTGTGGAGGTTTTTTCAGCCTTGGGAAGCTTTATGGCATCTCAGAAATCCTGACTTCTCTAGAACTAGAATTTCTTTAGTTCTGGGGAATTGCATGCCATGCCATGAGAAGTGACAGCCTGCAGACTCAGCTTGCCCTAGAAAGAGTTGGGCACTGCCAGATATTCACTCCAAATCCATCTGGCTCCAGGGCTTCATTCCCAGTAGCCCAGCTCATGTCTCCATCCTTGGGGCTTTTGGCACTAGTCTTTCCCACCTGCTTCCATATCCTAGAGCCCCAGGTTGCCAGACTGCTGGCCCACACACAGTGTGTGCTGGCATGGTAATGCAGAGCCTGGGGGCTGGACAAAGGAAGGTGTAGACTCCCACCTGCACCTCCAAGCACTGGCAGCTCAGAGCTCTCCCAGGCTCCTAGGTATTTGCTGGGCTTCTGTCCAAACCCCAGCAGACAGTGATGACTTCTCTCCAAGCCCCAACCCCAACCATTGAGACCAATGGAATAAACTAGAGGCTTGGAGTCCTTTCCCATTTGTGGCTGTTTAGGATTATGGGTTTTGCAAGGACCATGATCACTCTTGCAGGAGACAAGAGAACAACATCCCATTACCTTTGGGGAATTCCTGTTTTGCTTCCTAGGGAAGGGTGTCTTGTGGAAGAGCCTAGTGATAAAGATAAGTAGAGAGGCTCTGTGGCAAGAGATTAAGCACCTCAGGAACAGGTGAGAGTAGAGTTAGTGTTACATTGCTACTCAAAAGGTCAGTAGGGAAAAACTACTGACAAAAGAAGCCCTCCCTCTAGGAGGAAAGTCTCCAGGGAGCATGACTGGGCAATGAGCTCCTTTTCTTCATACCAATAAGCAAAAGCTCTGCAAGCCTCATCCTGGGCACGCCTGCTTGTTTCTCCAGAACAGGAAGGACATTCCGTAAGCAGCCCAGGAATGTGTTAAACATCTCTCCCCTGGGGCCCCAACTCCAGAAAGATGTGGCTGTTGACAGCTCATCTCCTTTGTCTTTGGCCTCTGGCCTGGGACAAACACTACAAAGCATGGCTTCCCCTTTCTGTTGCATTTGCCTCATTGTTCTGTGCCATTAAAAATGTTGCCATTGTTAATATTGTTGTTTCTGGCCTCCATCTCCTCTTGCAATGGGAGTCACCCTGGACTGAAATAGTGGTGTGATGATGCTTTGTATCATCCACATGTCCTTCAGCTAAGAAGTGGTCTCAAAATATTTGTGATGTAAAACCCTATTTTCAAAATGGAAAATTGTCATCTGCATATGTGAATATTATTTTGAAAGTACTGTCATTGGCTAATATCTCAAGTCACATTACATTTTCTAGGTGAGAGTTATCATTAACAGTAATAACCATTACTTCTAATTTCAAATGACATCCTTGATACTTTTTGGAACATTTTACTGACTTCTCTGACATTACTTCTTTGCATTCAGATACTTCACCCAATGTGCTTGACATACAGCCATCTTTGCTGGTGATGCTGGTGTCCCTCTGTTAACTAAAGCTAAAGCTCAAATTTTCAAAGATAAAAAACAAATAAAAAAGGAAGTCATCTTGGGGGTGGTGATGCACACCTGTAATCCAACTGGCTCCGGAAGCTGAGGCAGGAGGATCACGAGTTCAAAGCCAACCTCAGAAACAGTGGGACAATAAGCAACTCAGTGAGACCTTGTCTCTAATAAAATATAAAATAGGGCTGGGGATGTGGCTCAGTGGTTGAGGGCCCTAAGTTCAATCCTTGGTAACAGTCCACCCTCCTACCCCGCCAAAAAAAAGGGAAGTCACAATATTGCCTTCTCTTGCTCAAGGAATCCTATAGCGTATCCCCTCTTGGAGGCCACTGCTCTAGAGAACAGAAAGATTCAGCAAGTTTAGGCAACCCATCCAAGTTTATGGTCAGTGAGCCACCAAGCAGGGACTTAGAGGCTGTCTCCTGCCTTGAAACAGGGTTCTTGCTCTTCTCATTACCCTGCCCTTCCTCTGCCTTCTGGAGAAATGGCAACACTCACGTTAGGGAAGGTAGCTAGAAGGCTCCCTGAGAGCTACCACACTCTATACTCTTCCTCTTTGGAAGTTCTTCCCTGGGAGCTATAGCTCCCATATTTAGAATAGTCTGGTGAGGGGACTTATCTTTAGTCTGGATCTCTATACCCCAAATAGAGTTACCTTTTTTTTTTTTAGACTTTCCTTTGAAATATGAAAGAATTTGGATTAGCGATCTCCATGTGCCTAGTAAGGTCCCTGACACATTTCTACAAGGTTCCAGGGATTGATACTGGAGGGAGAATGGGGAGGTAAAGCATTTGGGCTTGCACTGTTTCTTAGTGTCTAAGTGACTTGGGGAAAAGTACTTAATCTTTCTAAACCATCTTACTGATGGTTTTGCCATCAGCAGAATGGGGAAAGTAATACTCACAGGGTTGTTGACTTCATAGGGTTGTTAATTATGTGCCAGGAACATAATAAACATTAGATGAATATTAACTTAATAGCTGATATCAGTTCTTTGTAATCATTTTGCAAATCCCCTTAAAATTGTCATAGCCTCTGGAGTCTCAACAGGGTATTTCCCTTTTCCTTGCTCTTTAATTCTTATCTCACTGATTAGGAAGAAAAGAATGATTGAAGGGAGGGAAGAAAGAAAGGAAGTATGAAAGGGAAAAAGAAAAGGAGCACTGAACTTTACTGTGATTAAAAAAAAATCTGTAGGTCTATCAGCAGTATTGCCATCTATTCTTAAAATGGTGGCACATAACACCATTAAAGTATATTAAACCCCCAGATACACATAACTAATTTATTTTTTTGCCTTTTGCCCAATATATTTTAGATTTGAGCTAACTTCTTGAGATCTTGACTGGAAGTGGAAAATTTTGATCCAATGAGAGAAGCATTAGGCTCCAGACCGTGGGGTTTTGTGGGGTATTGATATTATAAAGCCTTGCTCGATTGCCTCCAAGAGGCCACTTCCTCTTTGAGAGCTGGGAGGAAAGGGAATTTAATCTACCTCACTAGACCAAGAAGAGAATCACCTGGAAAGAATTGCCCAGATTGTAGCTAATGTGCATCTCAGGAGGTCTGGAGGCCTACCCTCTAAGATCTGGGCTGCCATTGCTGTTTGAGGCACAAAATTCAAACCTAAGAATGGGAGCTGTTTGTGCCAGGGCTTTCCAGGCCAGAGCTGGAAAGGAATATTTGGGATTTTTAGAGTAAAACAATTAAGATGATAATACTTTTGTGCTAGTTGTACTCCTTATATAGAAAGGACCCATCCCTTTGAGGGAACTAATTTCTTGGTTTCCAGAAGTGAATGACATTTATAGTCTCCTTTTTGCAGGTGAAGATGAAAGTTAAGACCTCAGGGTATATGAAATGTGGATTGTACTGCAGAAAAATGGTGTTTCTTCCAACTCACTGAAGAATTCAGATTGCATTTCTTTTTTTTTTTTTTTTTACTGGAGACCGGACCCAAGGGTACCCCTGAGCTACATTCCCAACCCTTTTTATTTTTTATTTCAAGACAGGGCCTCACTAAGTTGCTTAGGGCCTCATATGTTGCTGAGGCTGGCCTTGAACTTGAGATCTTCCTGCTTCAGGCTCCTGAGTCGTTGAGATTACAGGCATGTGACATCGTGCCTGGCTTTATGATACTTTTTAAAAACAGTTTGCAAATATCTGTTAGGACTTTAAGTCACATGCTGAGGCTGTGATTCTGAGCAGTTAGTATCCAAAGTTAGCATCTTGTCAAGATGGCTCCTCTCAAGCAAAAGGAGTCTTCTTTGGTATCAGGGTCAGTTTGCTGTGTCCTGGACCTGTCATGGTGAAGACCCTTATGCTTCTATTGCTCAGTCCCACAAATATGTACACTGAATCTTTAAGCAGTTCTAGGCTGCAAGCTAAGGGACCCATCAGGGACATGTGGAGCCCCTGTTGATGTCCTAGGGTGGTGAGTAGATTCAGGTGGCATTCATGGATTTTAATGGGAGGCAGGATGTTTATATCCATGACACCACAGATCCAGACTGTCTCACTGTGTGTTAGACCTCTCACTTTTGGGGAAAATGCTTGAAATATACCCCCAGAAACATAGATTTTGGATCTTAAAGGAGATCTCACCAAATTAGAAAAATGGTGTCCTTTGATTTTGCTGTATGTGGCAAGTTAACCTTCAGGTTCAGTTTAAAAGCTAGTCTGCAAATCTCTAGGGTTAGAAGTCAGAACAGGGATGCCTTTGGGAAGGAGGCTGGAGATGATGGCATGACTAAGAGAGGCACACTGGGGCTTCCATGGTGTTGGTCATATTATTGGCATATTGACAGCTGGATCAGAAGCTCCCCTAGGGCAAACACCACATTTTTGTATGTTGCATTGCCTAAGGCAGTATACATAATAAGTATGTGTGTGTGTGTGTGTGTGTGTGTGTTTGTGTGTTTGTGTGTGTGTGTGTGTGTGTGTGTGTGTGTGTGTGCGTATTGCAAAGTCTCCAGAAATGACTTGGAGGTCAAGACAGATTCTCTTTAAGACACCTGAGGGAGCTAAATCCACTTGGACCTGCTTGGCTTATTTAAGTTGAACCTACAGAAGGATTCAGGTAAAAGTCAAACTATGGTTTGCTTCTGAGATGACAGCTACCAAATCTCTAATGCCACAGATCCCCGTCCAGATTATACCAGAGGACAGGCTCTCCTGAAAGTGGCTATCTGAAGAGGGTGTGATAGCTACTTAAAGGTAGTCAGGAGCAGAAGAGTAGCCTATTCATTCTTAGCTTGGCCACTGCCAAGAACCTTCCTTCAACCAACATTCTCAAAGACAGCTGTCACTCAATTAGGGTTCCTGAAACCCCTCAAAAGGAGGAGGGTCCAGCTTGGCTGACCTCTGAGTAGCAGCTACCAAGTCCAAAAAGAATGTGATGAGGAGGCCATACCATGAGGGGTTTCCAATCCTTCTTTCAGGACCTCACTCTACTCAAACTTTTTCCTGGTAGGCTTCCCTTCCCCCATGCTTCTGCTCTATAAAGACAAGCCAGGTACTCCTTAGAGCTTCCCCTTCTGCCCCTCTGTTCCCAGTGTACCTCATGTTCCTCTGTTCCTTCCATTAACAGGCTCCTCATCTGTCCCATGGTGGGCAGCTTGAGGGCCATCCAGAGCATGTGGTCAGTGAGTCTAAGACTAACTAGAACAAGTAGGAGAAAAATATGTCAGTTGCCAATATTGTCTACCCATTCTCCTTCCTTTCCCTGCAGTGAAATCTAAAACATGGTTGAAGAGGGGTGACAAAGAACATTTAAGCAAGTAGTTCAGGTTCTCAGACATGAAAATACAGGCTGTATTTGGAGGTTCTGGAATGGAGGTTCTGAGAAGGATGATGGACCAAGAACAACTCCACAGATAATTTTTTTTTCTATAGAAATCTTGTTATTTTTGTCTTTCCCACCTTTTTCTCTCTTCCCAGGAACCTGACACTTGATCTGGATGGGAATTAGAAGTGAATACTAGAGGTAAATGCCAAAACTCCACTTTCACTTCCTAGAGATAACTGAAGTGAGTCCACCATTTCCACCATGTTGGGAGCTCAAACTTTACAGAATCAAATGTCTCTACATTCTTAGCTTCCCCTCACCTTCTCCCTGATTCCCAGAGTCTTAAACTTTGAAGTGACATAGCAAACCCTATAGGTTGTACCAGTGCACTCCAGTCCAATAGAAAGGCTCCTTTTGGTGCCCACTGCCAGTTTATTTCCTTATCAAAGCTCCAAATGTGAGGAGACACAAAACCTGCTTTGTGGTTAATAATGTCTCCCTTCTAATCACTTGTTATTTTACTACGTTAGATGATCAATTAACATTTGATCCTCAGTAATCAAGGATTTATTGCCATGTTTCTTTTTCCCAAGTTGCACACACCCTGTAAGTAGAGGGCATCTGAGGGCAGGTGGTGTTAAAACAGAACAACTGACAAAGAATGGTATGTGTCAACATTGCATTACCTTCCTCTTAATAATGGTTTTGAAAAAAAAGTGTCCTTTGCAACAGTACAATGGATTAGATATCATAAATGAGACTCCCACTTAAAACAACAATTTTCTAAAATCTT